TATATAAATAAAAAATTTTTTTAACCAGGTAGATACAGTGCTTAAAATTAAACCCAAGGCAATGATTTTTTTGTTTACCTTGAAAAAATAGCATTGAAAAACACCTTTAAACACTTTCTATTTGAGAGAATAGAACAGAGCTGCGTCATTTTATGTTTTTTTATCCTCACGATCATAAATATTTACCAATTGTTTTCGATTACAGTGCAACAGAGACACATTTTTTTTTCTTCGGAATTCAGAGGTAGTTCATGTAGTAAGTCTTTCCCAATACATATTTTAGTCTAAGAAAATATTTATGTAGCACATGAATCTTAAACTATATTATTTCAATTGATACTAAACTGCTAAAATGGTCTTCTGCACAACTTATGCGTGATATTTTCTTGAATGCATAGGTTACTCAATAAAATACATTTATCAGAACGATGACTAAACAAACATACGAAATGACTGAAACAGAGAAATCAGGTAATTAAACTATTTTGTATCTTTTTCATTCTATTGTATTTATTTACTCACCATCTGTTAGTTATTTGCATTGTAGGTCGTAACATATTTCCAATGTCGATCTTATTCATTGCTAAATTCTTTTTATCGACAATATTATCTTAATGCTATTGTTTTTATTAAGTGCTATTTTCTAAGCATCTATTAAGATTTTTATAATTTTAAGAGTTTTGCAATTTAAAGACAATTTGCAAAATTTAAACTTTTTTTTCTACTTGTGCAATAAAGGCATATTAAATTTATAATGCTTAGCTATTTCATTCTATTACATCTATTTACGTATTATCTACAGCGTAGGTTGTAGTATTTCATTTCCTTAATTTTTAATTCCAACGTCAATTTATTCCAATTATTGATTTCTAATATCGATGTTATTCATTTCGAAAATCTTTTTATCGACAATATTATTATTATAATGCTACTGTTTTTATTAAGTGTTATTTTCTGAAAATGAATTATGATTTTTATGTTTTAACGAAGAGTTTCGCAATTTAAAGCAGTTTATAAAATTTTAACTTTTCCTACTTGTTTTATAAGAATTATCAAATTTATGATGCTTAGCTATTTTATTTATTATTTTAATGCTAAAATTTCCATTAAGAGTACTTTTCTAAACACGTATTATGATTTTCATAATATTTTAGCGAAACCTTTTGCAGTTTTAGGACAGCTATTTAAATTTTAACGTTTTCTACTTATGCAATAAAGATATACCAGATTTAAGATACTTAGCAATTTCATATTAAAATGTTACTGTTGATCTATTCATTTTAAAATGCCTTCTGCAAAAAATAACATCATCATAAAACTAATGTTTTTGGCAGTTTTAATTTTCTAAGAATGTATTATAATTTTCATAATGTTTCAATTTTTTTACTTATTATTTAATATTATGAATTTACAATACTTAGATTTACATCTGCATTTTACCTAACTTGTTAAAAATTTTAATAAACATAAATCTGAAACTTTAAATTAAGGATTGCGGTGTATCGAAATTATAAAAAAATGTTTTCAATAATGATAATGTAATTCCTGTCATTGCATTAATTATTAATTTAAGTGTTTAATTTTTTAAAAATCTTATTGCAATTACTTTTTACAGTTGTAAAGCTTATAAAATTAAATTCTCATCTATGGATACAGATGATTAAAAATTGATAAAATTCTGGTGATACATATTTAATAGAGTTTGTTTAAAGCTAATACGCATGTTAATAGCGATAACTAGTATTAGTCCGGTTCTACAGGCATCAATTAATGTGCTGATAAATATATATCTCTAAGGTTTAAAATATAATTTCTGTTATTGATCAAAGTATTTCCTGGCGTTGTCTAAAATTTATAGACACCTTTTAAAGTGCAAGGCAAATAGATTGGGTAAGGACCATTAAAACTGAACTGCTATTTATAGGATATTTTACTGACTTTTTACAGCTAGTCTTTATTAGAGTATTTGCGAAGGTTATTTTTATTACGATATACATTTTTATTATAGCTTCCTATAACTTGAAACCAAATTTAGAAAGAGAAAAATGGATTTGATATGATTTGCTAGTAAAAGTTAAAAAAAAAAAGGAAGAAGAAAATACATTACTTTACAGCATATAAACGGTATCAAAGTATGATTGAAAGAGACCATAAGTAGTGATATTTCCTAGCAAGGTATACAAGCTAATTATGTTCTGTAATTATCACCCTCAGATAATGCATATTTTTAAAATCCTTTTTAAAAAAGTAAAAAGGTATGCGAGTTAAAGACCATAAATTAATATTTAATCGAGACAGAAATTAAAACCATATCGAAATCAGGCCAGTCACTAGTTAGGCAGGTGGAAGGGAGAACAAATTCAGTTTAATTATCCAATATAACTGATGGTGTTTCTAATCATCGATTTCGAATTCTTCTTTGTTTTCTTCGGCAATAAAATTGCTTTTAATGTTTTCATTCCGCCCTCCTTAATAGTGATATAATAAATTTTGATAATGTTTTTGCTTTTGCTTCCTACTTTTAATTCGCGACTCCTCATGAGAAAACTTTTTAACTTCATTTTTGACAAGAATTCTAAAAATATATATTAAGGCTGTACAGCACGCAGCATTTTGTATTTACAAAATATATTTGCTTTTGCAAAGCATTTGCTGTACATTACCTGTAACGCTAACCTTATCTCCTACCTCATATCGATATTGTGATTGGTAGGGAAATTTTCGCGCAAGCGCTGTGAAGTTCGAATGACGTTAGAGCTAAGGGAAACCACAACTCTTGGCAAAATTCTCGATTTCCATGCTCCGTTTTTTGTTATTTTAAAAATGCTATTAAGTTTAATAGAAAAGATGATGATAATAGTAATAATTTAATAGATAATATTACATAAAATGCATTAATAATATTAATTTGGAGTCGGACATTTTGAGCATTTAAGGACTTTAGTTCTTATTTCTAACGCATCTGAAGGAGTATTAACCTATACATTATTTGGTTAAAGTTTTTTATGGTCTGATTTAATAAATAGGGAATATTTTATCCAGTGCTCCTAATTTTATGTTATCGATTCACCACTCTTATTGCATCTACATTCTTAGAATATTTCTTTAAAATAAATTTAATAAAATCTACTTAAATGCAAATTTATTATTGAAAAACGGTTTCAGAATTTAAAGAATGATTATAAATCAATTTTAGTGACGCTACAAATCCTGAACGTGATTAGAAGTTAGTCTCATTATTTCATATTTTCTAAGGTATTACGGGACATTTTATAAAACTATTGGTCTAAAGATTGGAACTTCACGTTTTATGACTAGATCTTAATAATTCGAGGGGGTGATCTTAAATAATCTAATTAATTAATGCAGACGATATTTTAAGTTTCGAAATCAGACACAATAACTTACTTTCTCTGAATAAATATTTTATTTTTGTTGATGGAATCGGATTTCTGACACCCAAAATATAGGGGGTCGCCGTTATCTTGGTAATATGGTCCCAATAGTTTGGTCAGGAGAACGGTTTAAAGTTTGGTATTCTAATTGTTGTTATGAATATTATTGTTATGTAAAATTTCCTACTTTAAAATGACATAAAAATTGTAAACCTTACATTTCAAAATTTTTTCGACTCCCTTTCCTTCGACATTTTTTCGACTGTTTAAAAAAAAAATTGAAAATAATAAATATTTACAATATGTTATTTTTTTCATGGAATAATCTTTGAACAAATGAATTTTATAAGTGTAAATATTCCTGCCTTTAAAAGTTTAACCCCATTACACAGAATAATTGGTGCTTTTCTTTTCTTAAATATTTTAATTAATGATACTTTGCCTTACTTTCAAAAAAAATTTATTCCAGTTTAATTATATATAAGGAAACATATATGATCATTATTTGTAGTTTTCATTACTTTGAGGAAAAAATTAAATTGTTTCACAAATATTTAAAACAAATTGAGATTGTGATTTGATTTTGAATTGATAGAACTAATCTAATATCCAATAATGGGGTGCTTTTTTTGACATTTAATATTTACTTAACAAATTTTTTTCTCGACTGAAAAATAGAATTTTTCGTATATAATAATAATAATATAATATAATACATCTAATAATAATAATAATAACAATAATAATAACAATAATATAATATGATACATGTAATAATAATAATAATAACAATAATATAATACTATAATAATATAAATCTAATAATAATAGGAAATAATAATAACATAATATAATATAATAATAATATGAAATAATAGTAATGTAATATAATATAATAATAATAGGAAATAATAGTAATATAATATAACAATAATATTATTATTATTATTTCCTATTACACTGAAATATCAATTCACGATCCCTAATGTACATACTTGTCTGACTTAATTTTTGACAAGGATTACTATCAAATTTTCAAAGTAAAATTAGTTTGTAAATCAAGAATATGAGTAGCACAGCGATAACATAAAGAGAAACTTATTGAACGAGGCTTTACAAAACGGAAGCTGATAGAAATTATACATGTTAAAATCATTTATTAATACAGTTCACAGAGATTTAGAAAATATATATATAATTATCCTTATTACACGAAAAAATATAATTATCCTTAAAAACATCCACATCTGTTTAAACAACGAACAACAAATTATTTAATAAAATCATAACAAAATATAACAGCAACAAAGTCTTGCCGACTAATTCACAATTACAAACTCTAAACTTCGGGCGATAAAAAAGAGCGCGCCAACACATAACATAACATAACACATACATAAACATAACATGTCTTCTGAAGAGAAAATAATACTCATTTTGTGTGAATGAGTGAGAATTAGGTGTAAGCTATTTCTATTATAAGTTTAAATCGTATATGAACACTCGCTTTGGTGTTAGCTCGTAATAAATTGTTTTTACCCACATTTGTTTAGGTTATTCGACATCATATTCAGAAAGATATTATTTCTCAGTTTTTACAGTAGGTTTAACATTCTTCTTTTATATTGTTCATAAAGAAGCACAGTGTAGTAACATTTAAAGGGATCACGATAGTAAAATTTTCAAAAAAAAAATTTTTTTTTTTTTTCAGAATGCATGTTTGAAAGCATTTTACTTAAATAAAACAATTCAACAGACAATTCATATAAATAAAGGAGAAACAGTACATTTTGTAGTTATACGAATTTAAATGAAGCATTCTGAAACTTTAAATGGAGGTATTCAAATCTAGTTGGATCTCAAGCCTATTATGAACAGTATTAATCTGGTACGAAATTTGTACACATTGCGTCCGAAAAATATCCTCAAGTAATCACTCTCCTGTCACTTTTCATTGTTTTATTGTGTTGTTTTTGTTTGGCATATTATGTACGGGTCTAAAAATTGTTTTTTTTCCTATTGCATGAGATTATTAATCAGAGCTTGGATAATTTCGCTTCCCTGATTTCAAATCTGCAATTTATTTCTCGCTCCAAGCTACAATTTTTTAATGACATTTTTTAATGACATATGTTACAGAGGGTTGGATAAATGCTGCGACAAACTTCTAAGGAAGTAAATGCATATCATCAGGATAAAAATTGCATGGGAACGAATGCCTGGAATCATCATCATACACCGTTGGGAACGCTTTTCTATTATGAACTTCGCGTGCTTCAGAATTCACTGTCTGTTAATCACTATTTCTTTGTGTGTTTTTAAACAGGTTGTAATAGGGAGGAGCCTCTAGCCGAGCACGACATTTCCAGGCATGGGTTCCCATGCAGTTTTAATCCTGGTGATACGATTTCCTCTAGAAGTTTGTCGTAACATTAACGTGACCCCTTGTTATATAAAACGTTTTTAAAATATTACATTGCGGCAAAAAATTAACTAAAAATGTCCTTAAAAAATTTCAGCTTTAGGAGCAAAACTAATTTCAGATTTGAAATCCCACCACAGAATTAGATAAAATCAAGTAGTTAAATAAATGTAACGCAAAATTTGTTATCCTGCGTCATATTATGCGAGTTTAAATAAAATTGTAAGTGATGTTCCCCTTTTTATTTATAAAATTTAAATTATTAAGTACTAATTTCATTTACTTTTCGTTCTTAGATGTGTTATCAACTAATAAAAAAGTACCAAAAAAGATTAGAACCTTCACATCAAAGCTTATGAGAAAAAAATGTATTTATATGGATATTCTGGAAACAAATTTGCGCCGATGTCTCAATACAGTGGATATCACTCTTCTGGCCGTTGGTCACATGGTTGGTTCTGGAGTTTATGTTCTTACAGCTACCGTGTCCAAAAACATTGCAGGTCCAGCAATAATCTTAGCCTTCTTGCTCAGTGGATTTGCATCATTTTTATCTGCCTTATGTTACGCTGAACTTGGAGTAAGGTATCCCAGATCTGGATCAGCATATTCATATACATATTTATCCCTTGGAGAATTATGGGCATTCCTAGTAGGTTGGAACGTTGCACTGGAACACATAATTGGAGCAGCAGCTGTAGCCAGATCATGCAGTGCTTACATAGACTCTTTAACTGGAGGTCGCATCAAAAATGGAACAATGGCGCTTGTGGGAGAAATTCACCAACCATATATGGCGGAATACATGGATTTTCTAGCATTAGGAATTTTGATTTTGTTTGTTGTATGCCTTTCCTTTGGGATTCGAATGACCTCACATTTGAATAATGTATTTACATTTGTTAACCTGAGTGTTATACTAACTATAATCTGTGTAGGGGCATATTTTGCTGATATAAAGAACTGGACAAACCCAGAAACTAAAGGATTCATGCCGTTTGGATTCTCTGGAGTTCTTGCTGCAGCTGCCTCATGCTTCTATGCTTACGTAGGATTCGACTCCATAGCCGCAGCTGGGGAAGAAGTGAGAGATCCTCAGCGATCAATCCCTAGAGCGACCATGCTTTCCATGGGTATTGCGACATTTGCTTATATTGGCGTATCTTCCGTACTAACACTTATGGTCAATTATCGAGATATTGCTGAAGATTCTGGCTTGCCAGATGCTTTAGATTATCATGGTGCTCACTGGGCAAAAATAGTTGTCATACTAGGAGCTGTTAGTGGTATGGCAACTGCGATTATTGGAAGTCTTTTTGCATTAACTAGAATTGTATATGCTATGGCAGACGACGGATTGTTGTTCAGCTTTTGTGCAATTGTTAATAAAAAAACTAAAATACCTTTAAAAGCAATGTACATTTTTTCGTCTCTGTCTGGCATCCTCACACTCATTTTTGATATAAACAGTTTGGTGGAAATGCTTTCAATTGGCACTTTGTTCGCTTATCTAATTGTTAGTGCGTCAGTAATAGTTATACGATATAGACCAGACACTAGCGGAGATATATCCTCAACTGACCGTGATGGTAAAGAATTTCATGTTCAAGATCGAGCAGGACAGTTAAAAGAACGTTTTAAGGGACTGAAAAATTACATTGACTGTCAACCAGGAAGACTCGTTGTCATGAGCTTGATAAATTACGTGGTGTTCACATTTCTGCTGTGCGGATTCGTGAGGATATTTTATGTCAAAATAGTTAAAGGTGTGTGGTGGTCTATTACAATTGTAGTCATTCTACTCTGTGGTTTCGTGTTATCTTTCATCCCTATATTACTGAATATGCAGTCTTCAATGCATATTAATTATAAGGTAAGATATTGTAATATTTTAATATTTAATTACAGTAAAATTTTCCTCTTGAACCAGCCAGATTGCCCCTTTTTAAGTGAAAATTCGATTATTACATCAGAAATTGTTCAAAAGGATTATTTTTTAAATCTTTTTTTATAATCGCACCTTAGAACATACACTTCACTTGTATTGTGTTCAGTAATCACCTTTAACCAGCCTATTCATTGCCTGTTTCATCGTTTTCTGGGACCTATTTTATGCTGATTAAATTTATGGTTAAATAAGATCTATAAACTTCTGCTGGAGGAATTTTTGTAAGCTGCGTATTCAAAAATGGATATCTATATCCCTCTTCAGTATAGTGTTAATTCATATTTTTTGAGTTCCTTCGAGAAATGAATTGAAAAAAATGCCTGCATTTAAGATTACGAGTGAATAAAGCGTGATGAGTGAAGTTTCTTAACTGTTTCGTTAACTGTATGGGAAGCGAACGCACCTCAAAACTGGTGTTTTAGATTTGGAACAAAGTTTTTACGTTTTGTCAATAAAGCTCGGGAAATAGTAAACTTTTACGCACCACAAAATGCGATTGCGCATTGTACATTAATTAAAGAAAAAAAAAATTATGAAAACGACCGATTTTTTTCTTCTTTTCAGAATAAACAAAAAACGGACAACTTCTTTTCTTTACTGCGATTTTAAAATTGTTACTTCTAATATATATATAAGGTGATACAAAACTAATTTTAACAACTGTAACAGGTGATAATAATTGTCGAAATAAAGACATTTCAACAGTGGATCCCTGGTTCTCACCATATACGAAAATATGATCTATGTGGAGCCTGGAACGAAACAGACCCTGCAATGTCCGAGAAATTGACCACTGTGGCAAGGAGAGTTTGATAGTATAGGCAGATTGAACATGTTGGATTTGGCACATGCATACATGCTTTTGAAAGAGGCCATGAGATTCGGTGTAAGAAAAAAAAACAATAATTTCTCTGAAGTGTGAAGAAACTTTTGGGTAATCACAGTCAAAGGGGAATTACATGTACAGTATACTCTCAATATCGTAAAGTTGAAGGGGGCTAAAGAAATTTCGAGTTTTTGAAATAAACAAGTTCAAAACTAAATACGTTCTAAAAAGTATAAAAATATATTCTAAGACATTACTCTAAAAAATAGTCATGATACATGAGAATAACTACTAACAAATATATTTATATTGATAGTTGACTATAAATCTAAATACAAGAATGATAGTTTTATTCTTAATAATAAATTTAATAGTAAGTTACGGTAAGTTTAATTTTAATAGTAAGACGCAAATAATTATGCATTAAATAGAAAAGAATTGGTTTACAATAAATTTACATTGTGATTTTTTCCAAAAAAATTCATTTTCTATTTCGAAACAAAAATTTGTCTTAGCAAGGTTTTGAGAAGAAACTCTTCGACATTGGAATTCAAATTAACATATAATGCCAAGGGGAAAAATATTTTTTCGACAAAAAAAGTTTTTCGAGATATCGAAGTTCGAGTTATCGAGAGTATACTGTCTATGCATATGAACCGTTTTAATTTTTTTAACGATCATTTTCTTTCTTCACTCCTTTTTAAAAGAGTATAAGCCTCTTAAGTCATTACAAATCTCTTAAAGATTCATAATATAAATGCTTATTGCAGGTACCACTTGTTCCATTGACACCAGCTTTGAGCATATTTATCAACATCGTTCTTTTAGTTAATCTTCAAGCAGTGACATGGTTAAGATTGTTAGTGTGGGTTATAGTAGGTAAGTGGAGCTCTATTTTTTAATCAGTTAAAAAATTTGATTACGTGAATTTTAGTTTCTAAAATTTATTTCTCATATGGCTAAAATATAATGATTAGATATTAATATTAAATTAGGTATTAATACTGCTTATTTCAATAATTTGAGACAGTATGTAATAAATTAGAAAAAACTATCAGGGCATTGTTACAGGACTTGAATCAGTTCTGAAACTGAAAACAAAATAAATAAAAAAAAATCAAATCTGTTAGACGGAAGGGGATGGCATAAAATAAACCTGATTTTTAAAAAAAAAATTATTAGATAGTGTTTAGAATTTCCAAAGTTTATATTTGGTTAGTCTCAGCGATTAGATATGAAGTATTAACTATCTGAACTTCATCATTTTATTAGACACTTTACCATGGAAGTATTTTCATTTAATTGTTATTTGAGTAAAATTAAATAGAAAATTTTATTGCTAAAAATTATTGCAATTTAATATTTGCTAATTTTATTGCAGTGATTAGAAATGGTAGACAATTTTTCATTACTTAAAGCACAAGTTCGAAAAGAAATAAATCTCAGTAGTTACACATTAACATAATTAAAAGATAAAAAAAATCTTCAATGATTGTAGAAAAAACTGAACTTGAAGAAAAGAATCTTCATATAAATTTTTTAATTTGCAGCAATAGTAATTCAAAGTTGACTGCATTCAAAGTACAAAATTATCCATAAAAATACGAAAGCCAAATCTTTAATAAAATTTGTTCTGTCAAAAATTTTGAAATGTCTATCAAATTTCAGAATAAAACATTTTAAGGTAATTAATTAGTTTCGGAGATTTAAAAATATTAAAATATAATACTTTCATTGAAAAAAAAATACGCCGGAATAAATTTCAAAGATAAGAAAATAAGAAGTGGATGGAAATTTCCTTAAGCAAATTTCGCTTTACTTTTGCATCAAAATTAAGCAAAATAATGTAAAAAAAATTCTAAAGGCATTGTATGAGTATTAAAGACAATAAGGAATGCTTCTAAGTAAAATAGAAAGAAAAAAAACCCCGAGAAAGTAAAAATTACGAGATTAATGTTATGCTTCAGTCAATTTGAATTTTTTTCTTCTTCCGGTTATTCCAATGTATTCAGAATAATACTCGTAACTGCAATTAAGAGAAAAATCCGTGTCTCTATACCATATTTTGATTTAAAAATAATAATTTTTATTTTTATGACCAAAGGAAAATATTAAATAGTAACTGTTTTAAAATTGTGTTACGTTATTTTTTGACCAATGTTAGCTGTTCCACCAAACGCAAAATAAGAAAAAAAAATCTGTCATTATTCTTTCACCTGTCACAAACACCGAACAGTAAATATTTTAAATAATTACTGTTTGATTTGTCACAAAAGTCGAAAAACTAATGCTTAATTGTTATATTTTGACGTGCCACAATCTCATAATCAGAAAACAAATGTAATAGTTAGTTGTGTATGCTATCATTCTGTTATTGCTTTTTTAACAGTCGAAATATATCCTTTTTACATAAAACTATCAAAATATATTCCTTTCACGCAAAACTGTCAAAATATATCCTTTAAACGTAAAACTGTCAGAACATATCCCTTTTTAAGTAAAACTGTCAAAATATGTCATTTTTAGTGTAACACGCTGCTAAACTAAATATAATATTTCTTTCATTATTTGTATTATAAATTATGATTTTTTTTATAACCATTTGAATGAAATGTTTTATCATTTTACTTAATTTATCACTTCAATTTTTACAGGTTTGTTCATATACTTTGGATACGGTATTGGACACAGCAAAATTGATAATTCTTCTCCAAAATCAGTCACATTACACTCCTCACAAGCAGTAGCGTATAATTCATCTGAAACTGACATAACTTTTGAAGTTAGCTCAGAAGAAAAAATCAGAAACTAGGCATAAATATTATATAATAAATATCTTCTTATGATATAAAGTTTTCCAAAATAACGGGTTTTTGGACATCTGATAGTGATTTCATACTTGAAATTAAAAAGGGATATCCGTAAACAAACTTAAATTCTTGATGAAAAGTCTCATAACAATGTTTTGGATCTTATATTTTTTTGAGCTTTTGATGATTACATGAGCATTTGAAGTTAGAAAGAAAAAACCACGAACTAGACAAAATTCTTTGTTAACAAAAGACTTTTAAGAGTATTTCAGATTTCATAAATTTTTCAACGTCAATTGATTATATATGCATTTGAAGTTTTATTTTATTTTATTTTATAACCTTCGTTGAACAGCCAACCCAATTTTGGGTTTACGACTACTAATGTTCAACACCGTAGAATTGTAATTTTGAAACAAGCCAGAAGACAAGGAAATTCTTGGATCAGTATCCCCAGAGGTATGGTTTGTTATAGGAACATGGAGGACTTTATGACTCGACAGATTTAACGTGCTTCGGTCACCATTTACTACTCGGGGAGTCTTGGGCAGACGGGGATCGAACCCACGCCCTCTTGGACACGGGTCCGGTGCCCTACCAACCAGACTATCCCTGGACGTCAAAGGATTACATATGTATTTGAAGTTGGAAAGAAAAATCCAGGAAATTCCTTTGTTAACAAACATTTCTTGGAATATTCACAATTTGATGCTATTAAAAATGACTGATATTGATTTTATACTTTAAGTTAGAAGGAAAAAATTGAAAACTAGACACTAACTAAACTTCTAACTAAACTTCTTTGCTAATAAAAATCTCATTGAAGTGTTTCGGATTAAATACTTTTCTTTGGATATTTGAAATCTTTTAAGTTAGAAAGAGAAATTATGAGCCTAGTAAAAGTTTACTTGGATTATTCCAAAATATTATGCTTTTTGGGCATCTGAACAGTTATTCCACATTCGAAATTAAATGTTAGTAATAGAAATCCGTGAATTAGATGCAATTCTTTTAGAAGAATACTAAGTTTCATATTTTTTTTAGCAGTTCAGTTTCAACCTGTTAGCATATGAAGCAGTATGGAACATAAATTGTTTTTTCTTCTTCTTTTTTTTCAGTGAAAAGAAGAAGTAATTTTCAGCAAGACATTTTTAAATAAAATTCTCTGTAATTTCAGATTTATTGTGGTGGAACACTTATTTTACCGTAATTTATTGAATATAATCAAGAGTTAAAGGTCAACCGAGTTCATTTTTTTACATTCTTAAGAAGTGCATTTCGATAAAAAGGAATAATAAGAAATAATTATTTTATACTTTTGACATTTAAGTTTTTTTTTTTGGGGGGGGGTTGAGGAATTGTGACTGTTTGGAGCAAGGGACAGGGAAGGGGTAACAAGAAGAGTGACATAACACATTTTGGTTAAAATAAAACAATTAAAATCAACAGATTAAACATTTTTATATAATCTGTTTTATATTTTTTTCTTGATATTTTTCATCAAGGTAAGAACAATTCTAATCATTATTGTTTTTATGATAGTTAATATGATTAAAACACGTAGTAAAAGTTAAATAAAATCTGAAATATGATCTGTAACATGTGCTTTGCTTCTGAACTTCTTGTATATATTTATACAATATGTAGCTTGAGGCGTAGCAAGGGGTATGGGGAAGTGTGAGACTTAGCGACAAATGGAAGGCAGGAAAACAGAAATATTGAAAAAAAAAAAAAAACCTGAAGTCATGTGCGGCTTGACTCTTATCTCATTTTTGCATCATCATCGATTTTAGCGACACTTTTGCTAACTATATGGAGTGACAAGTACAAAATGATAAAAAAATTAAAAATGTTTTATGAATATATTTTAGGATATGTATATATTTTTAGAAATTTTGCTACCAGTCCTTTGACTTGATAGGAATATTAAAATTATATTTCAAACCGGAAAATTATTAAAAAAATCAATAAATTGTTCTGGAAATGACCCTTTTATAATTATTAGTAAACAAAAGAGATCAATGCCTATAACCAAAATAGACAATAGTATACATTTAAGTTAAGCTACCAAGATTTCTTTTACCCACCTCAAATCATATATGCATCATCATCGATTATTTTGCGACACCTCTGTTAACTATATAGAGTGGCAAGTACAAAAAGAAAAAAGAAAAACGTTTTATAAATATAGTTTAGTAGATCTATATGTTTTTCGAAATGTTGGCACCTGGTCTTTGACTTAATAGTAATACAAAAGTTCTCTTTTGAACCAAAAAATAATCATTAAAATGTCCGTCAAATGACCAACGCAAGCGCAGTTATTAATAAGTATTAGAAAACAAAGGAGAGCAATACCTATAACCGAAATAGACAGTAGTACACAGCAAATCTAGGCTACAAAGAATTTTTAACCCGCTTCACATCCCATTTGCACCATCATCGATTTTAGCGACCTCTGTGCTAGCTACATAGAGGACAAGGACGAAATAAAATATTTTTTAAAAATAATTTATAAATATTTTTCAGGATATGTATATAGTATTTTTAATAATGTTGACACTTATCCTTTGACTTGATATTAATATCAAAGTTCTCTTTCGAATCAAGAATTGTAAAAAAATCATTAAAGTGTCAGTCAAATGACCCACATAAAAGCAGCTATTAATAAAAATTAGAAAACAAAGGAGAGCAATACCTATAATCGAAAAAGACAATAGTATACATTAAATCTAGGCTACACAAAGTTTTTTTTATCCTTCATCCTTCTCATATTTTCACATCTCCATCGATTTTACCGACATCTGTGCTATTCGCGATCGCAACGATCTATAGGGGGCGCTGTTGTATGAGACAAATACCTGCGATTTCCATATGAACATTCATTCAGTTACTCGAGTTACTGATCTCTAGATCTAGAGACGTCTTTAATGTAGCGTGTAGCATTGCAACGCTCCTTCTTTATTGTGGCTAATTAAACTTATAAGAGTTAAAACCTAATGCCCGAGAAATAGTTTTACTAAATTTAATGATATAACATGAAAGGCCCATTTAAACTTTACATTCTATAGTTTTAAGAATCATATTAGTTCAAAAATTAAAATGAACAAAAAGTATATATAAGCCTTATAATATTATGAGTAATATTCTCATAATATCCTCATAAAAGCTTCATAATATTTATAAAAAAAAAGAAATACCATTTTGTTGTTTGCATAAGAAAGAATATCAAACATTTTTCTTTTTTAAATTTAATAAGCCACAATAAAGAAGGTGCGTTGCAATGCTACACGCTACCTTAAAGACGTCCTTGGAGTAACTGAATGACCGTTCATATAGAAATCACAGGTAATCGTCTCATACAACACTGCCCCCTATAGTTCATTGCGATCGCGAATAATAAATTTTCCTAGATTATTAAATCTGTTTCACATCTTCTCTTAAGGCCCTTTCTACGCTGAAAGACAA